CCTGGAATGCAGTGTCTCGACCTCAGCTCACCAAAACCTCTACCTCCTGAGTTCAAGGGATTCTCCTGCCTCAGCCTCCTGAGTAGCTGGGATTACAGGCATGCGCCACCACACTCAGCTAATTCTTGTATTTTTAGTAGTGGCAGGTTTTTGCCATGTTGGCCAGACTGGTCGTGAACTCTTGACCTCAGGTGATCCACCCACCTCAGCCTCCCAAAGTGCTGGGATTACAATGGTGTGAGCCACTGTGCCCAGCCCCCATTTTTACTTTTATACAGTAAAAGTATATTTTTACTTTTATACCTTTTCCATGTTTACATACACAAATACTTGCCATTGTGTTACAATTATCTTCAGTATTCAGTACAGTAACATATAGTACAGGTTTGTAGCCTAGGAGTCATAGGCCATACTATATAGCCTAGGTGTGCTGTAGGTTATACCACCTAGGTTTGTGTAAGTAAATGCTGTGATGTTAGCACAATGGTGAAATCACCTAATGACACATTTCTCAAGCTTCTCCTCACATGGTAAGCAACACATGACTGCATATAAAAGCTCTTAAATAAGGATTACGTTTCTAAATTAATCTCTAAAAGAAAACAGTCATTATTTACTATATATGGAATGTTTTTTTAAAAAGGACCAAAAGTTTTTCATTTCAGTGGGAATTTAATTTGGGGCTAGGGTGTTTTATTTAACTTTCTTCCCAAAGTTGTAAAGTGTTTTGAAGTTTTTCCCTGTAAAATACTTATTTTAATTCAATTTAAATGAAACCCACCAAAGAAACTTCAAGCTTTAAGAAGTCTAGCTTCCTGTGAAATGTGAGAGGAAGTCAGCACTGATCTCAGAAATCCAATTATAACAATAGGTCCATCCCTAAATGAGGTAATTCTTGGAATCCCTTCAGTTTTCTTTTTCACTCCGATCCCTTCAATTTTCAATTTAATTTAATTTTTTTGAGATGGAGTTTCGCTCCTGTTGCACTCCAGGTAGGAGTGCAATGGCGTGATCTTGGCTCACTGCAGCCTCCACTTCCCGGGTTCAAGTGATTGTCCTGCCTCAGCCTCCCAAGAAGGTGGGATTACAGGCATGCACCGCCACTCCCGGCTAATTTTGTATTTTTAGTAGAGACGGAGTTTCACCAAGTTCATCAGGCTGGTCTCCAACTCCTGATCTCAGTGAGCCGCCCACCTCGGCCTCCCAAAGTTCAGGGATTACAGGTGTGAGCCACGGGTCCCAACCCCACTTCAATTTTAAAACCCTCACTATGCACCATATGTGTATGCTAGGCACTGGTATAAGATGAAGCACCTTCTTGGAATTTACATACTGTTAATTGTGCCAGTCAGTCAGTAATAAAATAGCTGGATTCTAGTTACAGTCGTATTTCAGGAACTTGTTTTACATGCTGAGTTTAACAGCCTAAGCCACTTCTCCATGTGTGCACACAGGGTAGACCTCTGAAGGGTGGCACTGTAACTTCTAGGGTAATGTGTTAATTCAAGGCAGGATGACATTCAGCCTCTTCCGCAGGCTAGTGCAAAGGGCTCTTCACTTGGATTAGAGCCTTCTCTCCTACACTGAATTCCCCACCCCCAACAGCCTCCTACAGAAAATTTGGAGTCCCCGCTTATTCTCTGGCAGCCCTTACCCAATAGGGTGGTGAATTAAAATTACCAGACATGCAACAAAAGATACAAAAAGTTTAGGAAAAATGGCAACATTTTGGAATAAACGATTATAATGTGCGTTCTGCCTGCTACCTTAACTGGAGCACATTTTGCAGGTCAGTTACTCTCCCTGGAAGGAAGACTATTCTCAGATTTCACCTTGGAGAAGGAAGAGTTCAGGCTGCCGGAATTGGGCCAGCGCTTCTGAATATCCAGAGGCGAGGTCCTGTGACTTCCTTGGGAAGCTCTGCCTCGCCCCCACCCCACCACAACAGCCTGCTGGAGTCCTGGGACCACCCAGGTCTGCGGCAGAAATCCTTCCTCGCTAAGGGGAGGGAAGGATTGTACCAGCAGGGTGGGGTGGGAAGAGGGGCTTGGGCGGAATTGTGAGATAAGATCGCCCTGGTGACGTGGAGCAGATCTAGACGGAAGCCTAATAAAGGGGGCGTAAATAAAGGTGTCATAAAGGACGGGGCGGGGCGTGTGCTTGTCAGAAACGCAAGCCTCTAGGGGCTGCCAGAATGACTCTCGCTCAATGCGTGGCGCCAGCGGTTGTCATGTTCCAGCTGCCTCTCTGGGCCCCATGACCCCTATTTACGTGGCAACTATTGTGGCTACTAGTCCAGGAGGCTCAGCGGACCTCAAGGACCCTCTCCAGCTGACCTCTAACCCACTGGGGCTGACTGAGCCCTGGTCTTGGCACTCCTCCAATCTCCCATGGGAATCTCCCCATGTGCTTACTTCCCCAGCAGACCCCGGGGGCTTTGATTAGCTGGGGTCCTCTGCTTCCTCCCAGAGGTCAGCCCCGCCCCAGGAATCGACTGAGAATTTGGTTCCATTCCTGGTCATGGATTCAGCTAGAGAGTTGTCCCCAGGGCCAGAGCCCTTCTTGTCTGGACACCCGGATCTGAATGACAAGCTGACTCAGCAAGAGAGGCTCCCAGAGGTGGGTCCAATGCTGGACTGGGATCAGAACCAAACCCTAGTTCGGCCTCCTCACCTCAAAAGTAAGGTTCAGACTACAGATCTAGATCAGGCTGCAGATTATCAGGCAGATGAAATACTCATTCCACCTCTAGACAGTAAGGATTCAAAAGCAGCGGAGTTTATAGTTTCTCCCAAGGACCTGAAGAAAGATCCAGCTCAGCACTGGGGGCTTGCTAAGGTTGTGGGAACTCCACGTCGATTTGTATCAAAACCTCAGCATCAGAAACAAACTTTGCAGGATGAGTATTTAGATTCAAGTATGGATATGCTGTATCCCAGCAGCCTGCCGCCAGAACTCCAGGTGAACTCAGATGAGCCTCCATTCTCAATTCCATCTAGAGCCTGAAACTCAAAATCCAGAGATGCCTGAAGAGCTCCAGTCCTCTTCCCTCCAGCAAGAAGCCCCAGTGCGGCTTCCACAGCTCCCTGAGGAGGTAGAACCTTCTTCAACCCAGCAGGAGGCCCCAGCTCTGCCTTCACAGTCCCCTGAGGGGGTCAGCTTTTCTTCAGCAGAGCAGCTGGCGCAAGCGCAGCAGCTACGTGTCTCTGAAGAGACTGGAACTCACCCATCAATACAGCACGAGTTAAATGTTCCATTTAAAAGTTGGAGTGAAGCTCAGCACTCAAACTTGCCCAATGTCACAGTCAAACCTATGGATGTGGAGCTTACAGGAACTCCAGAGCTAGGAAAGGAACTTACATCAAACCAGGAACGGGCCTCCAAAGCACCCCGAGAAGGTGAAGTCTTCCTCAACCCAATTAGAGGCCGCAGCTCAGATACCAGAGCACTCTGAGACGAAACCTACATCCCAGCAAGAGACCCCAGCTGAGCCTCCAGGTCCTCCTGAACGTTTCCCCAGTGAGCAGGAGCAGCCAGCTCAGCCTTCCAAGTTTCCTTCAGGGGCTGAACCTTCTCTGACCCGGCAGGAGGCCCCAGCTCAGCCTCCAGAGTCCTCTGTGGAAAGTCTAACTCAAACTCCACCGAATCATGAGGTGACAGTTCAACCTCCAGGTAAGGATCAAGCTCATTATAACTTGCCCAACATTACAATTAAACCTGCAGAT